CCCCCGCTCCCCCTCCCCTTCCCTCGTCCTCTTTCAGTCCCCTAGCCAGAGATATTCCATTGTTTGCATTTTTAAAATTTCTGAAACATTCTGTCAAGTTGAAATTTTACGAGGATGTTTGCTGTTAATGTGCTGTCCCATAATTAGCTATAATTATATATACCTGTGTTATTTCATAAAACAATTCTGACCATTTTTTCCTTAATTCTCGCTCTAATAATATCATCTTCAGAAGTTTGTAAAGTTGAAATTTTACGAGGATATTCGCTGTCCAAGTGCTATTCTATAATTAGGTATATTCTTTCTATGACACCTTTATTATTTCACAAAACAGATCTGACCATTTTTTTCTTAATTCGCACTCTGATAATATCATCTTCAGAAGTTTGTAAAGCTGAAATTTTACGAGGATATTCGCTGTCCATGTGCTATCCTATAATTAGGTATATTCTTTCTGTGGCATCTGTGTTATTTCATAAAACAGTTCTGACCATTTTTTTCTTAATTCTCATTCTAATATTATCTACAGAAGTTTGTAAAGCTGAAATTTTGCGAGGATATTCGCTGTCCATGTGCAACCCTCATAGGAAGAAGCATATTCCTTCCCTGTCACCTTATATTCCTTTATTTTTAAAAATTAGCTTTGTCTAAAAAAAGTAACGAACCAGGTGTTTTCAGTGATTGAATATAAGACGGAAACTGATCAAGTGAAAGCTTGTAGCCGCTGAAATCTGCACGGATCAATCCGGGATCGCGTTTCAAATCCACCCAGCTCACGGGCAAATTTGCAGAATCCATAACTTGCGCACCTGCAGAATATCGAGCAGCTTTTCTAACCCGGAAAACAAAAACACACCAAACTTGTAATCTACACCGACAAGAGGAGGCCGCTCGAATTGCTGAAATGGCACTATCTACTGAACTACTGGCGAAAAAAACGAAGACGGAGACGTATCTGCTGCATGTTAGTTTTACTTTTATTTTCACCTCTGTAATCGTTATTTTACGTACCGCCACCTCCACTTCCTTTCTTTCCTCCTTCATCTTCCTTCGGAAAGTCACATATTCGTTCAAAACATGACGGAATGGGACACTGTACTGATGATTCCTACCCCATTCCACACCGACTCTGCCGTCTGTGTTTACAGTTTAGGGATGGAACACAGACAGGACAACAGCTAATGCACATACAGGCTCGCTTATCTGGGTATCTGAATTAGCACTCACTGCTTTCCCACAACTGACAATATTCGACTGTGTCCCTTTCATCGGTTGGCCTACAGTGCCAAACAAACTTTTACAGTTTAAATTTTTCAAAAAATTTCCAATACACTTGTATTATTGGTAAGTCAAAATATCGGTGATTATGGGCTGGAAATGAGGTTTTGAGTGAAATAAGACAGGGGAAGAAAGACTGATAATTTAATGATGATGGTGAGGATTAGCAGACCATGGATTAAACAGCTCATAATGGATTAAGGGGATAGAACAAGAATTCACTGAATGTATTTTTATGTGTCATCACTACTGCTGCAAATGCAGTAATTGGCCAACGCACCGGCTGCCAGTGCGAAGATGCGCTTTTTGTATAGTTCTCCGCAGTTTCTGCCGCTACTGGCACCGGTTTTCCCGGCAAATGCTTCTAGTTAAACAAATTAAGACTGGCCACCAGAACTGTTAGAAAACACCCCCTTAAAATTTCAACTTTCTAGCTTTCCTGGCTCCCGAGTTAGCAACTAACTCAAAAAAAAACTTTCACGGGCCCGCACGTGGGAACCACGCATAGCCGGTGTCTGGGTTTGAGCCCACTGAGACTTACGTGGACGGGGAACATCCTCTTAAAATTACAGCTTTCCAACTTTTCAGTTTTCCGAGTTAGCAACTTACCCGCAAAAAACTTTCATGGGCCCGAAAGTGGAGACCACACGGGTAAGAGCGCCCATTTTGAGGACTGGGGCCCGTATATGCATATAGATTAAGTTCCCGAATTTTCAGCCCTGTAGCTTTTGTAGGTCTTGAGATGCAAAACCGTGACAGACAGACAGACACACACACACACACACACACAGAGACAACCCCTTCGTCAATATGCGTTTTCTGCACTGCATAGGTGCAAAAAAATGTAAAAAAAAAACGCATACTGTCAGCATTTTTTCTCAGAATGTGCCTAAAAAA